CAAAAAAACAGTTGATTTTTCCTTCCGTTTAAACGGTTATTCGTATCCGTGCAAACGCTTTCTCCAAAGCGTAAAAACGTTTTCTTGAAAGCGTTAAATTTTTTCATCGAACCGTTTTAACGCTTTAACGAAGCGTGAAAACGTTTCACGGCATCCGTTTGCTAACCGTTTTGAATCCGTTTTTTTGCCCATTTAAACGGAAAAGCGTTAATGTATGTTTTCCCGTGGAGGGTCACATATTTGAATATACCCCCCCCCCCCAATTAAGCGGTCTAGCTACGGCCCTGCCCGGCGGGCACCAATTTACAAAATTTTTACTATCACTCGAATCCTAAAGCTTCGCGCAAAACATTAAATTGTATCCTTTGTAGAGGTAATCATACTAGATCTATAGGAAAATTCTAGAGGTTTAAAGGGTCTTAATTTCGAGTAGAATTATATATACCCACTTCAAATTTAAGCCAGGAACGGTTGAAGGAAAAATGAGTCAACTATAGGTCCTCCGAATGGTAATGCCGGGAATATGTGATATATAGGATGGTAATGCCGGGAATATGTGAGGGTAAATCGTTGATTAAAATCATTTTAATCAGTTCTAATCAAAAGTGGAAGGACTTCAGGACCTCAATCTTTATCTATGCTTCATTTTAAAACATTTGCTGGAAGCAATATTCACGAAAATACACTTCACACGCAATGTTTTAGATATAAAATTTATTCGTTGGCTGTATTGCTTCTTTGGATGTATTTAAGCGTTTGAATGTATTTAAGCGTTGAGAAAAATTAAATTTTTCACTTCCGCAACGAAGATATTTTACCCACAGTTTTGATGTAAACAAAGAAATGGAAATCATGTTAGGCCCCGTCCACAGTTATCGGATATTTTTAAAAACGGAGGTTTTTTATCCGTTTTGGCCTTGCTTTTCGCATAACTGGCGTTTTCGGCAACCGAAAACAGAGGTTTTCAAAAACGCTCTCCCAAGTGGAGTTTTTCGAAAATGACGGTTTCGTGTTTACGTGTGGACGGGCAAAAACGGAGATTTTCGTATCCAGTCTATAACGGGCCATTAACGGCGCGTGTTTTGTATATCTTAGAGATGGTAAACTAAAATTGCTTGGCTGTTTTACTTTGGCATATTTTATTATTTCAAGTCTAATAGCAAGCTTTCAGCTTCATGTTACTATGCTAAATCTTTATTAAAAAAGCGAATGAATATGATGAAGATGCTTCCCCTCTCACAAGCTAGACCACGAAGATTTTGGTCAAGAGCGAGCATAAAGCAAACCCAAAGCAAATACGCGGAATTGTTTTTAAATTCCGCCAAATTAACATTTTTATTATCTAGACGCGCTGCGCGCATAAATTAGGGAGATTTAGCATGAGGACCTGAATGTCAAAGACGACGTCGAAATGGCGAGTAAATGGCGTGGCATGTCCATATTTGGGCGCATCACGCCATTTACTCGCCATTTTCATGTAGTCATTGACGTTCACGGCTTCATGCTATCGCCCTATTATTGGCATTCGAGCCCTGCGATCGTTTCGAAGCGCTCCTATTACTTGGAAATGCGCATGTTCTCCGTCTGGCGCTATCAAATTTCCTTCGCGTTAGCGTTTACGTATGAACGAGGAAAAACGATTTGAATACGCCTCTTGTGGACGCAAATTTTATTACAAAATCCTCCGTTTTTAAAAATATCCGGATACGTGTGGACAAGGTCTGACTCCGGGTGAATCAGCTTAAATGAAAGGCAGTCTTTCCTTCATGCCGGAGGGATGAAGAGTGCCAAGACTGTGGTTGAGTCGCATTTCTTGTCATTTACGGCTAACGTTAGTACCAGAAATGAGGCAGAGGGCACTCTCTCTAATTCTCATGTCAAAAATTGTTTGTAATATATTTTCGTAGCTGATCAGGCTTCCCTCATTGCGGGCTATTCTTAACCCACAACCAGGCGTCTCTTTGGCAACGTAATTTATTCCAATTTGTTTTGATTTTTGTTTTCTATTCACGGCGGGCTGAAGCGGTGCCGAAAATGGCCAGATAATTTGATACGAGTCCGCCATTGCATGTCAGCTGAGTCCACCATTAGGATTGCGTAAAACATGGCGTCTCTTATTGTCAGCTTGCACGATCTGGTTGACAACTATATTAAAACAGCAAAAGACAGGGAAAAGGCCGGGAAAATTGGTTCAGAAGTGCTTACAAGGTCAAAAGAAGTTGCGAAAAAATATTTGTTTGAGGGTGAAGATGCGTGTATGTTTCATGTTACGCAAATTTATCCAATTGTTTCAAGAGAGCTACTTCGATGGAGCAAGATTGTTGCCAGAAGGATGAAGCCCAGGTCTTCTTTAGCTAATCCTTGGGGTATACGATTTAGTAGAAACATGCCGGAAGAAGTATTCGACTTGTTAAAGCTCACTGTTTTAAAAGGACATTACGGAACGGTTGCCAAGAAGACAAGTTGTGTAGAAACTCTCGAGATAACAACTGCAAGTTCAGCAAGAGAATGGATAATGCACGTAGGAAGCAATACTAATTCAGAAATGAAAATGGCAAGTATTTTCTATAAATCGTTTAAAGATGGATCACATTGTGAAGCTGTCATATGCACAGACCATCCTCTGATTATACAATATTCCAAATCACAAGAAAATGTCAAGATTTCACTTCATTACGGATACTGGAATACATTTGGCGTTCCACAACATTGCTCATGAGACCTTTTAATTTTACATTAAAAATCTATATCGTGTTTTGTTCATGTAAATGAAGATTAGTTCAACCTGTATACTGTATGAACCTGTTGCATCAAGGACAACACTGGTCAATAAAAGCATTGTAATGGAAAACCTAAATTTATGATATAAATGAGATGCTATTCTGTCTATATAAAGTGAGCAGCTGATGAGTAGCTTTCTGAGTTTAGTCGTCTGCTCTTTTTTGTGTGACAAAATGGTTACCAGTTACATGAATCCTAAAGTTTATATAATATTGCTTATCCAGATATGCCCCACAAGTGACTGCTTACATATGCATAAACAAACTGAAGAAAATACTTGAATAATACTTGATAATCTTTAAGAGTTTAATTGAACTCTATGCCTTACTTACATGCAGTTAGCCTATTATAATTTGCATTCTTTGCCATCTTTGGTGACTTTTTTTGCATGGAAATCAGAATTGTTAGAGTAATGCTGATCCACCACTCCCAGAAACATTCTGACAAAGTTGGTCATGCATGTCTATTTTGCACATTATACATTTCGACTAATTGGATATGCACTAATATAATACCGAGTACAAATCTCAAAGAACACACACTGTTTACTTTTATGTAAAAACTTTATTTCAGTAAAACATACACCTTTTTGGAAAAACATAACAAATGCATGTACTTAATAACTCTTCAACTACATATAACTTACATGAAAAACATGTATAGAACTATTTCTTTAGGTTAACAAATTTTTTAACATTCTCCAAATCACCACATACAGCAGTTTTTGCAATTGCTTTGAAAATAGCTGATGAGCAAATACTACACTCATTTTGTTCTTTTTCAATTGGGAAACCACAATAGCAAAAGGTTTCTAAAGCTACATGCTTTGGTATATAACGCTCTTCATATTTTGTGTACAAACTTTGACCTGGATCATGCTTGCGGATCCAGACATTGGCAATATAATCATGCCGTAACACCATTGACCACCTGGTCGATTTGGTGGAGTGCTTTGCAAATTGGGCAAGCCTAACATGTTTGGCCTCACGACCTTGCATACTGTTGACCCCTAAACCCATTCCATATTTGTCAAACAATATCTTGATGTGTCTAGGTATAACATAGCCAATGGTCCATACAGTTGATAGATAGATAGATAGATAGATGGTTTATTGACTTAAAACTTGCAGCCTCGGCAATAGGCTCCGGCTGAAAAACCTTAAGTGTTACAAAAAGTATGATCTATGTTATTAAAATCCATAAAAGTGGAGGTTCAATTGGTAAAACTATCTATTTACATTATTTAGTGTCTCAGATATATTATACGTATTTACTAGAGTTGAAATTGATAAAATCGTTTTTAAATCTAAATGTTCTACAGTTTGCAACTTGAAATATTCTTCTTTCTCTCAGAGATGCCTCAGATAAATTTAATGCTGGTAATAAATGGTGTAATTTGTCTTGCGGATCATTAACAATTTGCCGAAAAAGTTTATCGGTCAAATTTTGTCTTCGATCGAACAGTGTGACAAGAGACCTAGTTGATTAAGTGCATCCTCGTACGAATGTTCGGGGAGGATTATTCTGCAAGCTCGGCGTTGTAATCTTTCGAGATCGTCTGACAGGTATTTTGTAAGGGAATCGTGGAATACTTCGCACGCGTATTCAGCAACCGGCCGAATACAAGTAACGTAGAACAAGAGAAGATCCTTGGATGGTAACTTTGCCCGTTTCAATTGTCGCAAGAAGTATAGACGAGTTGAAATCTTCTTGCATACAGTCTCAATATGTTTATTCCATTTGAGGTTGTCGGAGATGGTTAAACCGAGTAGTTTTTCACACTGGACTACTTCGATGTTTTTGTCGTTGATAATAATAGGATCAAACTCTCTCTTTACAGTTGAGAAACTTATTCGAAGTTCCTTGCATTTGGACTCTTTTAACTGCATACCATCACTTCTGGATTTTGAAGAGAATTCGTTGACATACGCTTGCATTATACTAGGTTGATCTTTATTTATGACTTCAGACATAGTTGAATCGTCTACGTATTTCCAAAGGTTCTTGTTATCAGCAACATCAAGGTCGTCCATCATGAAAAAAGCCAAGGGCCTAATTTTGTCCCCTGGGGGACACCCGCTGGCACACCCACTCGGAAAAACAGTCATCGCTAAGTTTAACTCTCTGACTGCGATCAGTGAGGAAGTCTAAGATCCAATGCAATATAGGTTTTGGGATGTTGTATTTCATGGCCAGAAATCACGGACAGTCAGCGGTTTTATTTGTGGGCGCAGAAAATGTCCCACGCGCGCGCGGGACATATGGCGCGATATACTCAAATCTACGACAAACAAATATATATGTAGATTTGACAATGTCTTTCTACAAAGAGTTGAATAATTTGAGCACGGCCGACTTTTATGAATGCAATTCAACATCGAGATCATCTAAAAGAAAGGCAACGAGGGCTTCAAGGGAATTATTCGAAGTTGAGAGAGTGATTTCGCGCAGAATTCAACAAGGGAAGGTGAGCGTGATAGTATATCTGTGTATTTTTAAAATAGCTTAAAATGTCATTGATTTTATAATTCAAAAGTTATACCTTCTCTGTATTCTGTATTATACAATTATTCTCCCCCAGCTCTCACTGGTCGATAATGTTTTGTTTTTAACACTCGAATAATTTTATTACAGCCAAAGTATTATGTGAAATGGCGAAATTTCTCCAGCTTACAAAATAGCTGGGAGCCAGAGGAAAATTTGAATACTGCCGCATTAAGGTACTGTACTATTTTTCCTATTCATCTAAACTTCTCGAAATATAATGTTTCAGAGATTTCATCAGAATAACTCATATTTTGTATTACCTTTCAGAGCTTTTGAAAACCCAGCATTGTACATGCCTGATGAAATCATTCAGGATGCAAGAGATGCCTTAGCTTGTGGTATATTGGAGCAACTTAAGTCCAGAAGTGTACTACCCACTGTCATCCCCTTTCGCCATGATGTTTTCAGATACTTTTTCGGTGGAAAGGGAGAAAAAAGCAATGAAAGAGGTGCTGTGCTGCTACACAAGTCTGATTTTCAGGCTTGTAATTTTCCAAATAATTGGGACAGAGTAATGGATAGCATGGGGGATGGCTTAGCAGTTGACTTTCCCATTAAGTTTAGACCATTTCTGTCATGGAGCCCAAAGACATATCTTCTTAGGGATGGGCAAGTTATTCCTAGCCCAAGATATCGCCCTGAGAAATTAAGTATCTCTATGTGTAAGATAGCATTATAATTATATTATTAACACCTATTTGTACATGCATGAACACAATCAATGAAAGTGATTACCTAACAACAACTTAACCCTTTTTTGCCAAAACAGCCACAACTCTTAGAAATTCTCAAAAGAGATCTCATTTTGGTTAATTAAGTTATTTACATATTTATTTCATTAGAAATAGACATGGGGAATTAGATATTCTTGCTCAATTGACCTTGCTATTAGACAAAAGCATTAAATTATGCAACAAAACAAGGCTTGTCTTGGCAGAGAATGGGTAATTTCAAGTAATTATGTCCATCCAACTCTCCTTCTTTTATCCCTAATCCCTGCCTCCCAGTAATTACTATCTTTTTGTTATAAGCTCTCTTTGTTCGCTGACTGCCGTGTAATTCCCACTGCCTGGATTCTAATTGGAGGATGTCTGATGCTGGGTTTTTATTGTTTGATTTGCGCAAAACGACACTCCTTGCCACATCATTGTTTTCTCAACCCCCTGGCCGGTGAAGAATTTCACAGATTGATACATTTTCATAAACCAGGGCACATGATATACTAGGGCATGCATGTAAGGAGTAACTGCTGCTCTGCTATATCCTTTGTGAATATATCCAGTTTTTAATGATGTGAAAAGTTTGATCCATTCTTTTGCTTTTTCAAAATAATTGTTAGAGATCTCATCGGTTATCTGTTTAGCAGTTACTATTTTGTAGAGTTCATCAAAATCTTTCCATATTTTAATAACAACCCCACATGTATCAGGCATCAGACAATCGGCCAATTTATCTGGAAGTTCAGCTAATAGCTTTTTTTTATCTGCGCCTAGTAGACTTGTGAAGTCGTATTGCCCAGATGCCTTCCCATCCTCAGTTTTCTTTTCCCATATATCAAAGCTTACCCCGCATGATCTAATTGTTGCCTGAAGATTTGTGAGATGTGTGTAATTTCTTTCACATTTTTTTTGTTGAAATTTTCTTTCATATCCCAGGAAATAACTTCCTGAATAATATTGTTTAATAAGACATCCATTACTCTTAGTAATAAATGTAACTCATCCAGTACAACATGATCCAAGTCAATTTTAACAAGTGGCTCATTGACACAAGAATACTTGTCCTTTGAACCATTCTTTTTTGCCATGTCAATAACTTGTTGCAGTGTGCGTTTGAGGGGGGCAGAGTTATAATACTCCAAGTCTTTGTCCATTACCCACCGGGAATCCTTGTGAATTATGCACCAAACACATGCAAAATTTGATGTCGCTGATTTCATGCCAAGCATGAGGAGTAGGAATTTGTAGTCTCCCCCAAGGAAGAACTCAAGATTTAATCTTGAGTTATTGATTGTGATTTCACTAACCTGGATTAGGTTGTTGATCTCCTGAAAAATCATTCCAAATGAGTCTTTCAGTGTTTCATAGCTTTCAGACCCCTTAACAATAGCGAATGTGTGGTTTCCACTGGCAGACATCACATCATCTTGGTTTTGTAGTAGAGAGAATGAAAGCAAAATAAAACTTGAATTTCTTGTCATTCGTGCCCCATCACCAGAGAGTTTTATTTGAATTTTCTCTTTACTCCAATCTACTTCATCATGTAATTTAACAAATTCTTCAACACGAGCTTTTAACATATCAGTAAATGATATTTGGGCACCATCAGCATTACCTGGGGTTGGGACAACATTACTGATGTCATTAAGTTGCCCTCTTCTCTGTTTAACAAGATATGACTTAGGAAGCCCATCAATGATCATTGTGAGTTCATGATAAAATGAATCTCCAATGCAAAATTTGTCAAGCAAGAACAACACTTGTTCTATTGTTTTTTGGTCTTGGCTTGATAAGCTGTCAAAGCCCTTGCTGTCATCAGTTGGAATAGTGTCATCAACACTAAGATGATGGACTATACCCGTCTGCTGTTCCACAGCTTTTAGCTCTGTTAACTCAAGACCAAATGATTTCATAAACCAGAGTGCTATTTTTGCTCTTGACAGAAAGGTTTTTAGAGTTCTTGATTTTTTGGCAACATGGGCTATATCCTTGCCCTTATTTACAAAATTGTGTTTCTCTTCAAGGCGGTCAATATAAACTAGTAGTTCCTTGTTTACATCATGCAGATTCTTAATTTCTTTATCTTTCTCTTTCAAAGCAGAAACCATCTCCACATAAAGCTTCTCTTTTTCTTCTTGAAGATTCTTGTAACTTTTCTTCCACTTTTCTAGATCATCACAAATATTCTCATTTTCTCTTTGCAAATCCTTCACAGAAATGACCATCTCTTCAAAGATTTGGAATCTTCTAACTTTGGAATCAAGTTCCTTTCTCTTGCGCCCCCCTTGGCCTTGTTGTATGCAGTCTTTACCATTCCTGCAAACTTTTCCAAAGAAGTGTTGACTTCATTTCTGATAGTTCTGTCTTTTGTAATTCCAAAGACATCCCCAGGTATTGAAAGTTCGAATAGGTCGACATAATCTAGACAACAATGATTTGGGCAAGAATTTTCATTCTCAGCTGTTGCTAAATTCTTCTTTTCCTTCTGGTTTACCATGTATTCCTGCCATAATTTTAAAAGTGGGTATGGAATCCCCACTGCAAAAAGAACTGGCCTTGCATTAGTTTTTCCTGCATATGCTAATGAGGGTTCCTCAATACATAATTTCCATTTTAAAATGCAATGATCTGGAGGTATATCAGACATTTTGTAGAACTCTGATCCAGGGATAGATGATTATTCAGTGAAAAACTGAAGGATGGAATTTCTCAAAACTATAACAAAGATATTACAACTTTCCAAACTTTAGAAGACGTCCAAAAAAATTTGAATATATTTGCATTTCGCGCAATTTCTTTTGTTTTGGAGCCTGTTTCCCACGCAGTTGTTAGTCAGCGGTTGTCCTTCAAAATGATTATAAAATGGCGAAGCAGAAAGGCATTTTCTGCGTTGTATTTGGCAACATTTCGAGTTTTTTTCTGCCACAAACCGCTCACAATGGCTGGAATTTCAGGTTTTACTTTGCCTTAAAACAGACATTTTAAAGTGTTGGGGCCGCTTAGCTAAAAACTCTGGTGTTTTAAAACTTATACGCAATAGTAGATCGAACATCGTACAACAAATATAGAGGTGTGGAAGTTGTCGGCAAACTTTTTCGACAGCGCTATAATAGACCAAATGTGAGCGAGTAGGGAGGATTTACTGAATTTAATAGAAGCTTATATTGTGTGGAAATGTATTGAGTCGACCTAACTCGGGCCGGCTGAAGGCAAATCGTGAGACGTCAAAACCCTCGAGAACTATATTTTCATGTAGGTCACACTATTTCTAGACGTGTGGAACGTGCAAATCATTATACATTTCATTGTGCGCATCGATTTTATATTGTTGGTAATGGAATACCATACAATAATCGCCATCTTGGTTTCGTAAAATAAGTTAATTGTGCGCATAAGAAATCGATTTAGCCGCCATTTTGTCCGTGATTTCTGGCCATGTTAACAGTTTTCGTGCGAGGATATGATGATCTATCATGTCGAAAGCTTTACGAAAGTCAAAAAGCATAATTCTGATTGTAGAGCCATTTCCGTCCGTGTTTTTATTCCAAAAATGCAACATGCTGATAAGGGCATACGTAGTGCTTGAATTCGGGATGGATCCGAATTGCCTTTTATCAATTGTGGCTAATACCGCAGGTTTTAGGTGTTGTTCAACCACGAATTCTTCGGCCAGTTTTGATAAAATAGGTGTTAATGATATTGGACGTAGGTTGTTATTAATGTCAGTTATGGGTTTCTTTTTAGGGATAGCAATAATGTCGGCCTCTTTCCAAGATTGTGGAATACGGCATTCGCGGTAAGAACTATCTAGGATCTCTTTGACTGGAAGTTCCAATAAATCAGCATTCTCTTTTAACACCCATGTTGGTATTCCATCAGGGCCGTGGGCTTTCCTTGGATTAAGCGTTGACAGTTTTTTAAATACGTCTCCTGCAGCAATTGTGACAGTAGAATCATTAGCTGCGCCAAATAACAGATCTTGGTAATTCTCTGGAGTGAGAGGAGTAAATTCAGCCATTGGGGAAAGAAAAGGAGTCACTTCCTTTAACATTAGTGCACTGATATTGTAAAAAAACTGACAAGCCTGTTGACATTTTTCAACTTCATGCTCAGTAATTTCAACTCGAGAAAAGTATGAGATTGCATCACGCAGCTGTAGACAACAAAAAGCTAATGCTGCAAGTCTTAGGCATGGAGAGTTTGCTGCATGATTGAGGCATTGGATTATAAACATGAATTTATGGCAGAATATCTTTGTTTCTTTTCCTGTAAATCTGTAAGAAAAAGCACTCTTTCGCCCATCCCTAAACCAACGTGTCAGCTTCTTAACTAACCGGGTGAGTTTCAGTATATCTTTCAAAGTTCTCAAATAAGCCAAGATAGGGGAATTTTCTGGCAAATTGCCAAGATTTGTGAAACCTGGTGGAAGCTTGGATTTTTCCAGAACTATCTCCAGCATAATGCTGTGCAAGTATTGCCAAGCATTGTTGCTGTTATGAAGAGGCTCTGCATATGCACAGTCTATAAGGTTACCTAGGAGTGGCTCATATTCTTGTCTGGAACCTTGTTCCCTGATAAACTGTAAAACCCTATTTCTTTGTGTAGTTGCAGAAAGGTTAGTTTTGGCTAATTGTTCCTTTTTCTCTGCAACTTTTTCAGCAATGGTCAGCCTCTCATTAAAATCCCATGGGTGCCAGGTGCAGGCCTTGTCTTCTCCTAACGACCCATTTATTACAACTTTATTATCCTTATTGACATTGCCAAAAGTTGAAAAATAGTGGGCCGCATTGTTGAGCTCCCCGGCAACAAATGACAACCACTTCATGTCAGAGGGAATAAGCTCGACTGTAAACCTAACCTCAAAGCCATTAACAGTATACACCTGTTTTTCTAGATGAGCTATATCATGCAATAACTTTTTTGCAAATCTCTTCATGCCAGTGTGACTCTCTGAGCAATTAGCCCCACAAAGCAAAAAATTGTCATTCTGACTTTGAATATGTTTTCCGACATTTAAGAAAGAGAGAAGCCATGCGGTTGCTTCGTCGTCTTTTCCGAACGGGGCACCATCAGCACCAATGGCTATCTTAAAATGGTATGGTGGGCTACCTAAATGCTTGAAAAATGACTCAGCTGCTAATTTCTGATCGACTAATATATACATTTCTGCCAGTGCAAGCACAAATGTTGATAATTCTCTGAATGAGCCACTAACTGGCTCCTCTAAACTTTCTAGGCCCTGGCAAAATTCAGTTGCAAAGTCATGGATGTTAGCAATATCCACTGATTTTATAAAAGCTATCAGTTTATCATAGTAAACAAGCTTAGCAGTTTGCACATAACTACCCGTAGAGGTTAAATTTACACATACTGACTTATACTTTTTCTTTGACATAAGGCCATCTTCATACAATACTTTCAA